AGGCGCCTACTCGCCTTCCTGAACGCCTAGTGTTCCCTCCGGGGATGGAGGAACTGAGGGCCCAGCTGGAGAAGGAGCTGAAGGTACGACATCAGCGCCCTAAGGAGGCCCAACAATGAGTGGGGACGGGGTCAGCGCCAACTGTACTGTGGTCTGCTTGCTGCTGGCCGGCAGGAAGGGACCCTACAGGAGAAGTCCTAAGTGACCCTGGAGAGGCGCAGCCGTGTGGCCTTCCTCCTTGCATGAGGACAGGGTACTGTGGAGGGAGGGGCTGCAAGGTGGAACAGGCGACGGAAAAGATTGAAAATGGGGACATGCAACTGGGCCTCAGTGCTGGTGATTCAGGCAGGGTACAGAGTAAGAGAATCAGGGTGGGGGTGTGATTGTTAATCAGGAGTCAACATGGAACAGTTGAGAGAGAAAATTGATGGGATTATAGGATCAGACAGACTTGGATTTGAATCCTGGCTCTGCTCTTTGTAAGCAGCGTGACCTCGGGAAAAATATCCAACATCTCTGATCACGCTTCCTCTTCTATAAAACTGAGGCTAATTCAACTACGTATAAGAATTATAGGCAGGGCGCTGTGGCTCACACTTGAATCTTAGCACTCTGGGAGGCCAAGGCAGGAGGATCAGGATCCCTTGAGCTCAGGAGTTAGAGATGAGCCTGAGCAAGAGGGAGACCCTGTCTCTACTAAAAATAGAAAGAAATTAGCTGGACAACTAAAAAGATATATATAGGAAAAATTGGCTGGGCATGGTGGTACATGCCTGTAGACCCAGCTACTTGGGAGGCTGAGGCAGGAGGATCACTTCAGCCCAGGAGTTTTAGGTTGCTGTGAGCTAGGCTGACACCAGGGCACTCTAACCCCGGTGACAGAGTGAGACTCTGTCCCCCCCAAAAAAGAATTATATGAGGCCATAAGAAGCACTGAATTCATTACCTAGTACAAATTAGGTGATGAAGACTAGTTAGTTCCCTTCTCTATTTTCTCCCTTTGGGGAATGGGAGCAGGAAGAAGATGCCTTATGCTGATAGCTGCCCTTGCCCTCCCCCATCCAGGGAGACACGCTGTTTGAAGCTGACTTCGCCCTGCTGGACGGGATCAAGGCCAACGTCATCCTGTGCAACCAACAGCACCTGGCTGCCCCTCTGGTCATGCTGAAACTGCAGCCTGATGGGAAACTCATGCCCATGGTCATCCAGGTGAGAGGACCCGGGGTTTCTGCTCCCCCGTGGTGGGCCTACTCCGTTTAGCCCCTCATCCAAATTCACCCCCTGCGAAGGCACCGTGCTAAGGCGCTGGGGGAGATGTTGAAGGAGGAATGAGCAAAGTCTTTGATGTTAAGAGCTTTTTCATCTAACTGGAGAGACAGACGGGCCCAGTCTGAATATGCTCCAGTACTGAGGACAGAGATGGCCTGGGAGGGATGGGGGGGGTCATGAGTCTTGGAGAAGGGTCGCAACTTAGGCAAGCAGGAGGGAGGGGAAGGACCTGTCCCCAGGGCAGCTGGGTGGGCAGGGAGGCTGAGGTGGAGGAGTCAGGAGATTCCTAGGGGACACTGGCCAGAATGCTGGGGAAGAATGTGAGGTGAGAGGGGCGGGATTAAGCCACGCTAAGGAGGATGACATCCACATGGGAGCTGGCAGAGGCTGTCGGGCAAGGTGCTGTGGGCTCATGGTACCACGTGGTACAGGGGTTGTGTTTGGGGTGGAGAGGAGAAG